GAGGCTAAAGATAGGGCCCCAATCCCTTCTAGCTTGTAAGGTTTCTGCTGAGAAATTTGATGTTAATCTGATAGATTTTCCTTTATAGGTTACCTGGTGCCTTTGCCTCAAAGCTCTTAAGATTCTTTCCTTCATCTTGACTTTAGATAACCTGATGACTATGTGCCTAGGTGATCTTTTTGTGATAAATTTCCCAGGTGTTCTTTGAGCTTCTTGTATTTTGATGTCTGGTTATCTAGTAAGGTCAGGGAAGTTTTCCTCAATTATTTCCTCAAATATGTTTTCCAAACTTTTAGATTTCTCTTTCTCTTCAGGAACACCAATTATTCTTAAGTTTCATCATTTAACATAATCCCAAACTTCTTGGAGGCTTTGTTCTTTTTTTTATTCTTTTTTCTTCATCTTTGTTGGATTGGGTTAATTTGAAAACCTTGTCTTTGAGCTCTGAAGTTCTTTCTTCTGCTTATTCGATTCTATTCGTGAGACTTTCCAGTGTATTTTGCATTTCTCTGAGTGTGTCCTTCACTTCCAGAAGTTGTGATTATTTTTTATTTATTCTGTTTATTTCACTGAAGATTTTTCCCCTCATATCTTGTATCGTTTTTTAGTTCATTAACTTGGACTTCACCTTTCTCTGATGCTGCCTTGATTAGCTTAATAATTGACTTTCTGAACTCTTTTTCTGGCATTTACGGATTTCTTTTTGGTTTGGATCCACTGCTCCTGACCTAGTGTAATCTCTTGGGGGTGTTAAAGAACCTTGCTTTGTCATATTACCAGAATTGCTTCTCTTGTTCCTTCTCATTTGAACAGACTATTTCAGAAGGAAGATCTAGGGCTCAAGGGCTGCTATTCAGATTCTTTTGTCCCACATGGTGCTCCCTGGATGTAGTTTGCTCTTCTTTCCCCTAGGGATGGGGCTTCCTGAGAGCCAAACTGCAGTGATTGTTATTTTTCTTCTGGATTTAGCCACCTAGAAGAGCTACTGGGCTCCATGCTGGTACTGGGGAGTGTCTGCACAGAGTCCTGTGATGTGAACTGTCTTCAGGTCTCTTAGCCATGGATACCAGCACCTGCTCCAGTGGAGGTGGCAGGGGAATGAAATGGGAATCTGTGAGGGTCCTTAGTTGTAATTTTGTTTATTGCACTAGTTTTGCATTGGTTGGCCTCCAGACAGGAGGTGGTGCTTTCAAGAGAGTATCAGCTGCTGTGGTATAGGGAGAATCAGGTGATGGGCAGAGCTCTAGAGCTCCCATGAGATTGTGTTCCTTGTTTTTGGCTACCATGGCAGATAGAGAAGGACCCACAGATTGCAGCAGGGTTACACAAGTCTGAGCTCACTCTCCTTGGGTGGGGCTTGCTGCAGCTGCTATGGGGGATGTGGGTGTGGTCCTCAGGTCAATGGAGTTATGTTCTCAGGGGGATTATGGCTGCCTTTTCTGTGTCACACAGGTTGACAGGGAAGTAGGGGGAGCCAGCAGTTACCAACCTCATCCAGCTCCCACACATCCCAAGAGGCTGGTCTCATTCCCACCATGCCCCACCAACAGCACCAAGTTTACTTCCAGGCAGTTAGTGAGCAGGGCTGAGAACTTGCCCTAGGCTACCAGCCTCCCAGCTGAGCAAGCAAGCAAGCAGGGCTGTCAGGTTTCAGGCCTCCCCACCTGCCATGGCTTCTGTGCTATGTCTGCTCTCTTGATTCACCCTTTCTATCCAGGAAACTTCACATTCAATCAAAACTGTTACAAAGTTCAGCTGGAAGTTTCTCTCTATGGTCTATTCCTAGTTCCTCTGGCAGTCGTCCCCAGTCACCTCTGTGAGACAAAGTCAGAAATGGCTTCCCTAGGGATGGCTCTTCCTGCTGCTTCTTCTACGTCTTTATTTCACTCAGCTCTCTAAAACTGTCTCAGCTTCAGGTAAGGTCAAATCCTTTTTCTGTGATCTAGATCTTCAGGTTCCCCAGTGAAGGTGTGTGGATAATCCCCTTTTCATACTTTGAGAACTCACAGTTTTCGTGCTGTCTCCCAAGGCCTACAGGAGAAACCTGCTTCCTTCAAAGGTCTGTGGATTCTCTCAGCTTTTCTGGTATTTTCCTGCAATAGTTCTTGGAACAAAAATTTACAATATGAGTCTCCACACATTGCTCTGTCCATCCAAGTGGGAGCTACAAGTTAGCCCTGCCTCCTGTCTGCCATATTCCCTCTGTTTAGTATAGTGTTATTTAAAAGTGAACTTGGATTAGTTGTAAACAGATATTGTAAACTCTAGGACAATCACTTAAAAAAATGAAAAGAGAACTAGACTGACATGCTAAAAAAAAAAATATTGGAATCATATAAAATGCTCAATTAACCCTTTTCTTATTTAGGAAAAAAAATGTGCAACTCACTGCCAGCTCCCGCTGTATTTTATATAAACACACTTTTTGAGGCTGAAGCAAATATGACTGATTTTCAATGTGAAAATAAAGTATAAAAACTGTTCTTGGAGTTATTTCCAAACAGAACTTACATCAGATTGTCTAAATTATCAAAATCACTATCTCAGCAAAATAACTTTTATCAAATGAATCTTTGGCCAATAATTGTTCAAGAGCAATGTTGACATCATGCATAGGAATGCTACATTTTCTAGGATCTGACATTGTCAACAACAGAGAATTACTATATTTTGTAAATGGAAATGCCACTACTAAAACCAAAATGCTATAAATAGAATAAATAGAATACAATAACTTTTGTTTCCAAAGTTGATATACTACAGTGATGAAAAAATAATAATAAATGCAAGACATTTCAAGGCAAGATTATCAGGTTAAATACTGCAGCTGCAAGCACCACCAGCAAGTATTCTCAGTGCAAATGGGAAAAGGGTTAAAACCACAAAAGACAAGGAAACAGTGAAAGACAAAAATAAGGGTAAAGTAAGTCACCAAATAGAAAACAGTAACAAATATGTTAGATATTAATCCAACTATATCAGTAAACACTTCAAACATCAATGGTCTAAATGCACCAATCAAAAACCAGAGATTGTCAGAGTAGATCAAAAAACAAGACCAAATTATATGTTGTCTATGAGAAACTCACTTGAAATATAAAGAAACATATAGATTAAAAGTAAATTGATGGCTGGGCACAGTAGCTCATGCCTGTAATCCCAACACTTTGGGAAGCTGAGACAGGAGGATTGCTTGATTGCAGGAATTCGAGAATAGCCTGGGAAACATGGCAAGACCTAGCCTCTACAAAAAATTAGCTGGGTGTGGTAGTGTGTGCCTGTGGTCCCAGCTACTCTAAAGCCAGAGGGAGGAGGATCACTTGAACTCAGGAGTTCAAGGCTACCATGAGCTATGATTACTCTACTGTACTTCAGCCTGCATGACAGAATGAGATGCTGTCTCAAAACAAAAAGAGAAAGAAAAAGTAAATAAATGAAGAAATATATATACCAGGCTAACGCTAATCAGAAGAAAACTATATTAGTTTCAGACAGTGAACTTCAGAGCAAGGAAAATTATTAGGAAAAAAATTATTAGGAATAAAATTATTAGCACTGTATAATGGTAAAGGGCCAATTACCCAAGAAGACATAACAATTCTCAATATGTATGACCTAACAACAGAGCATCAAAATGTGTGAGGCAAAACTGCAAGAATAAAGAAATGAATCCACTATTATTAGAGATTTTAACACTCCTGTATCAGGAATGGTCAGGTGACAGAGCAAGACCTTGTCTCAAAAAAAATTTTAAAAGGAGGCTGGGCATGGTGGCTCTTGCCTGTAATCCCAGTACTTTGGGAGGCTGAGATGGGCAGATCATAAGGTCAGGAGTTTGAGACCACCCTGGCCAACATGGTGAAATCCCATCTCTTTTAAAAATACAAAAATTAGCCAGGCATGGTGGCACACACCTGTAATCCCAGATACTCAGGAGGCTGAGGCAGAAGAATGCTTGAATCTGGGAGGCAGAGGTTACAGTGAGTCAAGATCATACCACTGCACTTCAGCCTGGACAACAGAGAATCACTCTGTATTGAAAAAAAAAAAAAGAAAAAGAAATGGTCAGATTCAGGAGGTGAAAAATTAGTAAGGACATAGTTGAACTCAACTACATTATAGTTAATAGGATATAATGAATATCTATAGACTATTTTATCCAACAACATCAGCAGCACATTCTTCCAAGTTCATATGGAACATTCATCAAGATAAACTATATTCTAGGTCATAAAGCACACTTCAACAAATTTTTAAAAATAAAAATTATACAATGTCTGCCCTTAGACCATAATGGAATTGAGTAAGAAATCAATAACAGAAAGATATTTTAGAATGTAAAATACTAAACACTAAAATACTAGGAGATTAAATAATACACTTCCAAATAACACGAGTCAAAGAAAAGATATCAAGAGAGATTTTTAAATATTTTAACTAAATGAAAATAAAAACATTTGTCAAAATTTCTGTGATGTTGCAAAAGCAGTGCTTACAGTGAATTTATAGCATTGATTGCATACATTAAAAAGTTAAAGATCTAAAATTAATCATTTACGCTTCCACCTTAGGAAAGTACAAAGAAATGACAAATTAAATCTAAAGGAAGAGGAAGAAAAGAAATAGTAAAAATTAGAGCATAAATCAATACAATTGAAAACAGGATTCCAATAGAAAAGAAACAACCAAACCAAAAGCTGTTTTTTAAGATCAATAAAATTGATAAGCCCCTAGTCAGGCTAACTAAAAAACTAAAAGAAAGAACAAAATCATTCATATCACAAATGAAAAGGGAACTTGACTACAGAACCTGTGGAAATTAAAAAGATAAGCAAGGAATACTGTGCACAACTCTGCTCACAAATTTGATGACTTAGATGGAATGAACCAATCCCTTGAAAAACAGAATCTACCAAAACTCACACAAGAAGAAATAGACAACTCAAATAGGCCTATATCTACTATAGAAATTGAATCAAAAATTAATAAGCTTTCAAAACAGAAAGTACCAGGCCCAGATGTGTTCACTTGTGAATTCTCCCTAACATTTAAGCAATATATTATACAATTATCTACAATCTCTCCCAGAAGATAGAAAGGAGAAGGAATACTTCCTAACTCGTTTGATAGGGCCAGTATTACCATAATACCAAAACCAGAAACGGTATTGAGAGAAAAAAACATGTCAGACCAGTATCTCACATGAAAATAGATGCAATAATCCTCAACAAAATATTAGTAAATTAAATCCAACAATGTATGAAAAGAATTATACACCATGACCAAGTGGTATTTATCCCAAGTATGCAAAGCTGTTTCAATGTTCAAAAATCAATTAATGTACTCTATCACATGAAGAGGCTAAAAACGAAAAGTCACATGAACATATGACTAAATGCAAAAAAAGCATTTCGCAAAATCCAATACTCATCCATGATTAAAAAAAGAAACCCTCAGTAAACTAGGAACAATTGTTGCAGAGAATCCTCAAAAATCCACAGTCAATTTCAGACTTAATGGAGAGAAACTGGAAGCTTCTCCACTAAGATAAAAAAAAAAAAACAACAAGGCAAGGTTGTCCCCTGTCATGACTGATTTTCAACATTGTCCTGGAAGTACTAGCTAATGCAATAAGACAAGAAAAGAAAGCAAAGGGTATACAGATGAGGAAAAAAGAAAATGTCCTTTGTTCACAGATGACATGATCGTCTATGCAGAATAGCCAAAAGAACCAACAACAAAACAGCCCTGGAACTATAAGTGATTATAGTAAGGTTGCAGGATATGAGGTTAATATGCAAAAGTCAATCACTTTTCTATATCCCAGCAATGAACAAAGGTGATTTAAAATTTAAAACATAATATCATTTACAATAGCACCCCCAAAATCAAAGTACTTAGGTATAAATCTGACAAAACATAAACCAGATCTATATGAGAAAAACTATAAATCTCTGCTGAATGAAAGTAAACAAGAACTAAATAAATGGAGATATATTTCATGTTCATGGATAGGAAGACTCCATATTGTTGTATCAGTAAATTCAGGCTACTATAACAAATTATTATAGACTAGGTGGTTAAAAAAACATATAATGTTCACAGTTCTGGAGGCTAGGAAGTCCAAGATCAAGTCAGCAGACCCAGTGTCTGATGAGAGCCCACTTTCTTGTTTGCAAATTGATGTCTTCTGGTTTTGTCCTTACATGCTGGAGAGCAGAGACAGGAAGCAATCACTCATGTCTTTTCTTATAAGGGCACTAATCCCACATCTGAAGACTCCACCCTCAGACCTAATTACCTCCCAAAGTCTCCACCTTCTAAAACTACCACATTGGGGTTAGGATTTCAACATATGAATTCTGGGGTCACACAACCAATCTAAAAAATTATCAAGATGCCTGTTCTTCCCAGCTTGATTTATAAATTCAATGCAATCCCAATCAAAATCTCAGTAAATTATTTTGTGAATATTGACAAACTGATTCTAAATTTCACATACAGAGGCAAAAAACAAAAACAAAAACAGAATAGCTACACAATATTGGAGAAGAATGCAGTTGAAGAACTGAAACTACCCAACCTCAAGACTTATTGTAAAAGCAATGGTAATCTAGACAGTGTGGAATTGGTGAAAGAACAGACGAAGAGATCAATGGAACAAAATAGCCCAGAAATAAGTCCACATAGTCAACTGATCTTTGACAAGGGAACAAAGGAAATAAAAGAAAAGAATAGTCTTTTCAACAAACTGTGCTACAACAAATGGACATCTACATGCAAAAAAAAATTAATCTAGACACGGAGCTTACATCCTTCACAAAAGTTAACTCAAAATAGATCGTAGACTTAAATGTAAAACACAAAACTATAAAACCCCTAGAGGATAATGTACTAGAATCTTCACTGAGGTGTTATTTATAATACTGTAATATTCAAGGCAAACTAAATGAATGAACATAAGTATTGATAGCATACTGTACAATGATGAAAATCATGTTAATAATATTGAATGACATATCTAATGCTTAAGACATATTGTTAAATGGAAAATATACATTATAAAGGAATATTTATAGAATGTCCAATTTTAAAATATAAATATCTATTATTTTTATAGGCCTACTATCTTTGATCTTTTTAGGAGTCACATTGGAGGTTGCAAATGACTTTTATTTTTCTGTATTATCTAAATTTAGTAAAATATTATAAACTCTAATTATTTACATAGAAAAAAATTACATAGGAGAAAATCTAGATATAACCTTGAGTTTCATAATAACTTATCAGATACAACACCAAAAGCACAACCCATGAAAGAAAGAATTGATAAGCTGAACTTCATTAAAATTAAAAATGTTATGTGAAAGACACTGTTAAGAGAATGAGAAGACAACAGATTGGGAGAAAATGTTTGCTAAACAAATACCTGATAAAGAACTATAATCCCAAATACACACAGAACTCTTCAAAATCAATAATAAGAACACAAATAACCCAATTTAAAAAATGGGCCAGAGACCTTAACAAACACCTCACCAAAGAAAATGTACAGATGGCAAACAAGCATGTTGAACAGAGGATTCACATCATATGTCATCATGTAAATGCAAATTAAAGCAACAATGACACACCATTCACACCAATTAAACTGGCCAAATCCAGAACACTGACAACACCAAAAGCTGATGAGGACACAAATAAACTCACTTATTGCTGGTGGGAATGCAGAATAGTACAACCACCCTGGAAGACAGTTAGGCAGTTTCTGATAAGTAATTATACTCTTACCATAGGATTCAGCAATGGTGCTCCTTGGTATTACCCAAAAGAATTGAAAACTTATGTCCACACAAAAACCTGCACATGAATGTTTATTGCAGCTTTATTCATAAATGCCACAACTTAGAAGCAACCAAGATAGCCTTCAGTAGGAGAGTGGATGAATAAACCATGGTACTTCCAGACAATAAAATGTTATTCAGCACTAAAAAGAAATAACCTATCAAGCCACGAAAATATCTGGAGTAAACTTATATGCATGTTGTTAAGTGAAAGAAGCCAATCTGAAAATGCTACACACTGTATGATTCCAACTATATAACATTGTAGAAAAGACAAAATTATGAAGGCAATAAAATGATCAGTGGTTGCCAGGGGTCAGAAGTAGGGGAGAGGGAGGGATGAACTGGCAGAACACAGAACATTTTTAGGGAAGTGAAACTACTCTGTATGATACTATAATGGTGAAACATGTCATTACATAATTTTCCAAACCCATAGAATATACTGATACAGGATAGGCGAGCTTCAAATTGGAGCTTAGCCTACAAGGGTTCTTGGCTTTGCCTAGGAAAGAATTCAAGGGCAAGCTGGTGATAGTGTAGGAAAAAAAAAAAAAACCACTTTATTGCAGCAGCAGTGTTACAGGTCTGTCAGTGTTACAGCTCTGTGACTGCTCCTGCAAAGCAGGGATATTCCATAGGCAACTGCTACTCTCAGGTACTTGGAGCAGCTATGCAGTCATATTTATAGCTACTTTTTAATTACATGTAGATTGAAAAGTGGTTTATGCAAAAATTTCTAGGAAAAGGGCAGCAACTTCTGGGTTGTCAGGTCATTGCCATGGAAAGGGGCAGTAACTCCCAGATGTTACCGTGGCAATGGTAAATGAATATGGCATACCAGTGGGCACTTCTTATGGAAAGCTGCTTTTGCCCAGTCCCTGTTTTAGCTAGTCTCCAGTTTGGTCCAGTGTCCAATCCTCACCTCTGGAGTCAAGTCCCACCTCCTACCTCAGTACCACACCAAGAATAAACCCTAATGTAAACTGTAAACTTTATGTGAGAACAGTGTAGCAGTATAGGGTCTTCAGTTGTAGCAAATGTACCACTCTGGTGGGGCTGTTGATAATGGAGGAAGCTGTGCATGTCAGTGGGGGCAGGGGGCATATGGGATATGTCTGTACAGTCTGTTCAATTTTGCTATGAACCTAAAAATGCTCTAAAAAATAAAGTCTATTTTTTTAAAAAAGAGGCAGTGGGTGTGATGAAAGTGAATGTAGCTAGAAAAGAGCAACTGACGGATTTCTTTCCTTATAGTGATTGACTGTACCATTGTCCCTATCCTAGTTGTAATAGTGTACTGTAGTTTTGCAAGATGTATCCAATGGGGGAAACTGGGTAAAAGGTACACAAGGGCCCTCTGTATTATTTCTTATAACAATATATGAATCTAAAATTATGTCAAAATGAAAATTTTAACTTAAAAAATGGACTACTGTTAATACTCTTAACAACATGAGTGAGTCTCTAAATCATGCTGAGTGAAAGAAGTCAAGCATAAAAGAATACATACTGGGTGATTCCATTTTTATAAAATGCAACTTCTTTTAGTTTAAGTTTCAGAAAATACAAACCATTTATAGTGACAAAAAAAAAAAAAAAAGACAATGATTGTGAGGGCCCAGAGGTAAGGTGGGATGGAATGCAGAGAGGCAAAAAAATGATGCAAGTGGCTTCTGTCTTGATCGTGATGGTGGTTTTATAAGTGCAAATAACTGATGAAACTCATTGAATCGTATGCTTTAAATAGATGTGGCTTATCTCACAGAAGTTATTTCTCAATAAAGTTGATAAGCAAAAGAAATAACTTCATGGTCCAGAAACCAAAGTCTACAGGTAATGACATTATATAACTGTAAAGCCCTCAGCCCAGTCAGGGAGGACTTGTTATGGCACACCAGTGTTCTAGGGAAGCTTTAAGAGCCAAGGTATTAATTAATCAACAAACTTTTTTATTTCAATTTTTATTTTTAGTTCTGGGGTACACATGCAAGACATGCAGGTTTGTTACATAGTTAGACATGTGTCATGGTGGTTTGCTGCACCTATCAACTCATCACCTAGGTATTAGGACCAGCATGCATTAGTTATTTTTCCTAATGCTCTCTCTTCCCCCAACAGGCCCCAGGATGTGTTGTTCCCCTCCCTGCGTCCATGTGTTCTCACTGTTCAGTTCCCACTTCTAAGTGAGATCATGCAGTGTTTGGTTTTCTGTTCCTATCTTAGTTTGCTGAGGATGATGGCTTCCAGCTTCATCCATGTCCATGCAAAGGACATGATCCCATTCCTTTTTATGGCTGCATAGTATTCCATGGTGTATATGTACCACATTTTCTTTACCCAGTCTATCATTGATGGGCATTTGGGTTGGTTCCATGTCTTTGCTATTGTGAATAGTGCTGCAGTGAATATATGTGTGCACATATCTTTGTAACAGAATGATTTGTATCCTTTGGGTATATACCCAGTAATGGGATTGCTGGGTCAAATAGTACTTCTGTTTCTAGACCTTTGAGGAATCGCCACACTGTCTTCTACATTGGTTGAACTAATTTACATTACTACCGACAGTGTAAAAACATTCCTATTTCTCTGTGACAAACGTTTTAAAATTCCCTTTACATACAAAAAACACACATAGACCTCTATACAGTAAAGAATACAGCACATGTTTCAAAGACATGGAAATCATCTTCTGATTAGAGAGGTGTAGCACACTTGAGGAATGGAGACTCTGCCAGGCAGGGAACAACTGTGAGCCCAAAACAACTCAGAAAGGAGAGAGAAGCAGGAGCCCAGAGGCAGGCCCAGGGAGGACAGAAGAAGTGAGCTAGAGGTGGTTGCCATTTGCAGAGGTAGAAAAGGAAAAAGTGAAGAATCCTCCTCCCCATTACTGTGAGTATCACCACATATGCTATCCTCACCTCTACCTAAAACATCAGTCATGTTTGCTTCCTCCTTCAGCCCCTACCCAGTCATATGTGGAGTCCTGGTAGATCACCTCATTCTGATGTCTCTGGCACCTCTCTCATTCTTTCTCTCTTCTCACTGCCACTTCCCCAGGTCATAGCCTTATTGTGTGCCTGAACCATGGCAGAGCCTCCTACCCTGTCTCCTTAGTACTAGGTCCTCACATTTCTGTGCATAATAATGGTTTTGGGTTGGGCTTCCTAGAAGCAGAACCTAAGATGGGGATTCTTGTTCAAGTGATTTACTGGGGAATGCCCTCAAAGAAGGGAGATAAGGAAAGAAGGGGTTGGTGGGAAGAGGAAAAAAACTAAGCCAAAGTGTGATCTGAGTTTGACCTCTCAGGTAAGTTTAGTGGCACTAATTGTACCAAAGCTGGTACCACTTTGAGACCAGGT